ACTCACTTATTTTGCACTCGTACGTATTCTGATATGTTTCGCTCTCTCGTATCCTTTTTTATTTTTGTTTCAATTTGATTAATTTGGATTTAAATTAGCTAGTTATTCCGTTTCAATGATCGATCAAAAGTTTTAGATCTTTACGCATTGATTTCATTAAATTAGGATCCAAAGTAACTGTAAGATTGTTGTAAAATAAAAATGCGGAATGTTTATCAGATAATGATCTGATTACTCTGTTTATTTTCTATGCCAGTTCTAATTGTAATTATCATTGATTTTCCGTATGTATACTAACACCATTAATGGTTGTTTTTTCAGGTTTTTTCCAGTATTATCATTGTTGATGCTGAAATATCAGATGACGACACAATGTGAGATCATTTCTAGGATTTTGAGTGATTTTTATCCTAATTTTAATCGACCTTAATTATCTGTTCAATATTGTTTCCCAGTGGAAGAGAACTCAAATCATATCAACTGCCGAAGAACAGAAAGGTTTCATTTATATTTTTTTTATTGATTTTGAGTCGTATTGTAGTTTGATTTATCAAATTTCAAAAGTGTTTATTAGCTTATCACTGCATTGGAAACCGCCTCCTGCATATCAACCAGTGTATTGCAGAAGTGTTTATTAGCTTATCACGTTGTAGTTTGATTAATGGAAATACAAAGGTAATTCATAGCTATAATAGTGTTTGATGATGCTGTCTGCATATCGTCTACCGCATGACAGAAAGGTTTCCTTTATATTCTTCTAGATTTTGATTCATTTTGTAGTTAGATTTTTCAAAATTCCTAAGTGTTTCATAGTTAATCATAGTGTTCCATACCGCTGGTGCAGGTTGGCCGCTGTATCACAAAAAGATCTCTTTTATCTTTCATAGATTTCAAATCACATTGTAGTTTGTTTTATTGAAATTCAGAATTGTTTCCTAGGTAAACATAGTGGTTGATACCGCTGCCTGCATATCACCCGTTGTATGGCAGAGATTTCCTTTACAATTTGTAGATTTTGAATTACATTGTAGTTTGATTTATTGAAATTCGGAATTGCTTCATAACTAATCATAGCGTGCAGTACCACAGCCTGCATTCATGATTTCTTAATGTTGCACAAACTAACCATCAGTCCGAACGTTGACGAGCAGGAAAGAGACGTTTCCTCTGCAGCTCAAATGTTCAATGGCGATGAGAAGGTAATAAGCAGAATTTATCTGTCTTTGACTACACTACTAACATGAAGGGTGCTCATATATATCTTGTTTCATACAGGACATTGACATAATTGCAACATACAGTGATGTTTCGGGAACTATTTGAACAAGTAGGGTGAAAATGAAGGACCTTTCTGCTTCGTGGGTTCTCGAAAACCCTATCAATGTAAAGGGTTCACAATCACAGGTATTTCTATTTGATTGTGTTACGCTGGTTTCTTGCAATTCATGATCTGATATCGAAACTTCAGATTCCATTTCCTATTCATGGTGTTCAAATTCGTAACAGTTTGTATAACCAAATTAAATGCATGAACTGAGTAACATGGCTTGGCATCAATAGTTGAGTTATTATTTCCTAGGTAATTAAGCTGAAAGAATCATGTCAAACTGCCACACCATTTGAAAAAAATGTTGGACACTCTACCGACGACGATCAATTCCGAGAAGATGAAGTTGAAAATCATCGACGGCCATCATGGAGCCCTGTGAAGTTCAAGCGCCAGGTAAACCATCTAGGCCCTATATTGTGTTTTCCAATTTCTTTCATGGTCTATATTTGTGATAGCATGTGGGGTATTCAGATGCTGCGGCAAAAGAGGAGGGAACTCCGTACCGCAAAACTTATTCGCCAAGATAAAGAGGCTGACAAACAGATGCAAGCAACAGCAGCAATTGAGAGCTTGAAAAACAATGACATTGTTGTCCGGGGAAAATACAGTATATGGAGAAGAGATTACGAGAACCCTAATTCTGATTCCACCTTGAAGCTTATGCGTGACCAGATTATCATGGCAAAAGTATATGCAAACATTGCCAAGTCCAAGAACAAAATTGTTCTTTACAATTCTCTTTTGCAACATGTCAGAGAAAGTTTATATGTTATTGGAGATGCTGACTCTGATGCCGAGCTTCATCCTGGGTATTGCTGCTCTATGTCCCTTGTTTTGGTTTTTTAGTTAAATTATTTTACAGGTCCCTATACTATAGGTTGATCATCAAAATAGTCCCTCGACTATAGAAGTGAGCAATTAGTTACCTGTATATGGTTTTATTTGCTCCTATGCTACTTTTAATCTTTGGTTATCAGGTATGTGTGTTACAGGGTTTCATGAAGAACTTTTGTATTTGCAGTTCACTTGATAGTGCGAAAGCAATGGGGCATGCATTGTCTATGGCAAAAGATGAACTCTATGATTGCTACGTAGTTGCAAGAAAACTTCGAGCCATGATTCAGCCAGCGGAAGATAATCTCAATTCATTGAAGAAAGAGAGTTCCTTCTTGATTCAGTTAGCCGCAAAAACCGTCCCGAAACCATTGCATTGCCTAACTCTGCAGCTAGCAGCAGACTACTACATTCATGGATATCAGAACAAGAAGGATCCAAAAAATGAAAAGCTTGAAGATCCTTCTTTATACCATTATGCAATCTTTTCCGATAATGTACTGGCCACATCAGTGGTTGTCAATTCAACAGTAGTGCACGCGAACGAGCCGGAGAAACACGTTTTCCATGTAGTGACCGATAAACTGAATTTTGCAGCGATGAGGATGTGGTTCATCATGAATACTCCCGAAAACGCAACAGTCGAGGTCAAGAACATCGATGATTTCAAGTGGTTGAATTCGTCTTACTGCTCCGTTCTTCGACAACTCGCATCTGTTAGAATTAAAGACTATTACTTCAAGGCAAATCACGCTTCCTCTCTCTCCGTTGGTGCTGACAATCTCAAATATAGGAACTCGAAATACTTATCGATGCTTAATCATCTTAGATTCTATCTTCCTGAAGTCTATCCGAAGCTAGACAAAATCCTGTTTTTGGATGATGACATTGTAGTTCAAAAGGATTTGACGCCTCTCTGGGATATTGATCTGCAAGGAATGGTAAATGGAGCAGTGGAGACCTGTAAAGAGAGCTTCCATAGATTCGATAAGTATCTCAACTTCTCCAATCCGATAATCATAGAGAATTTCAAACCGAATGCTTGCGGTTGGGCATTCGGGATGAATATTTTTGATTTGAAAGAGTGGAGAAAGCGAAACATCACAGCCATATATCATCATTGGCAAGATTTGGTATTGCTTCACTATTGCTCTTCTCTTATTTCATTACTGTTCCTTGTAGATGTGTCCTTCAATGGGTTGTGTTCAAGTCGGACCTATTTACGGTATTAATGTTAAACTGTTATAATGCTTATCTAAATTCGGCTCAATCCGAAATTCGAGCCTTTGGTCAATATTTACAAAAGGCCAATTGAAACTCATGTCTCTATATCATATTAGCTGAATCTAGAAACCACTTGGATTGTCACTGATGAAGAAACTATTTTGCAGAATGAGGATAGAACTCTTTGGAAGCTTGGCACGTTGCCACCGGGACTGATCACTTTCCATAACCTGACTCATCCGCTGGACCGAAAATGGCACGTATTGTTGAAATTTAACCAATTATTCGGTGCATTAATGCACCGAATGTGCAAGTGTGCAAGTGGAATTGTGGAGTCAATAAAGTAGCTGCAAATTGTTGAAATAATAAAGGCATAACTACCAAATTGAGTCCTTAATCTTTAGAGTATTTATAAGATTAGTCCTCAAGTTTCAACTATAAATACTCTAACTCATTTAGTTTCAAAATCATCCCAAAGTATTCTAGCTTTCTTCTAATACTAGAGAGAATTTATAGAGTTTCTTGAGAATTGTTTTCTCTTTTTTTTTTATCAAGAGAGAATTATCATTGTTTCCTCCTTAGTAGATCGAGAGAAGTCGTAATTCCTATTTTCTCATAATGAAATTCTTCTACCGTTGCCCGTGATTTTTACCCTATTTTATTTAGGGGTTTTCCACGTAAATTTTGTGTCTCTTTTTATCATCATTTTTATTTTCTCAAATTATCAGTTACGATTTTGTTATATCCAATAGCCGTATTCCGCAACACGTATTAGGACTCGGATACGATCCGGCCCTCAACAAAAAAGCGATAGAAGATGCAGCCGTCATCCATTACAATGGAACAATAAGCCATGGTTGGATCTGGCGGTCGCCAAGTACAAGTCATACTGGACCCAATATGTGAGTTCTGGTAACTTTACCTTCAACTCTGCAAAATGAGGGAATGACAGTTTTTCAACCCTTCCCTTTCCTCTTGCTTTCACCTTTTTTCACACTTGTGATTCTTTTATCATGGTAAAGAAAAGGGTCATTCTTTTATGATTCTTTGTTGATTTTGATAGGAATATCAACATTTTTTGGGTTCCTCTTCGATGAAATAAGATCTCCTTGTGCTGTTTACCCAACTATATTAGAATTTTGACGTTCGAAGTAAACTGAGAGAGTAGAATCACTTCTATAATAAGTTTTTGCAATATTTGTGCCGTCGTCATCCCTGCAGCCAAATAAATATCAAATCAAAAAATAAAATAAACTAACCTATTCCGGAAAATCCAGAATATTTAATTACATGTGCAGTATGTTATATACATTTAATTACATATTCATGCACGTATATTTTATCTTTGTTTTTTTTTGAATGAATATTCATAAAATTTTGAAATGTTATTGCATAAAATAATAAGTTTTAACATATTTTACTCGAATATTTTTAAGAACACTCGTCGTAAAATAGACGTGAAAAACACCACTTAATAGAGGTGGCGCGATTCTATACGACATTCGAATAAAAAGTGAATTTGAAATAATGATAGTAATGATTGATTCTAAACTGGTTGTTGATGGATGTGAAATTTGTTAGGTAAAGCAAACCAATAGAATTAAAAGGAAGAACATAATGTTCCCACTTTGGTTACACAATTACGATCCACACTGAACAATTTTGAAGCTTCAATAACCATGAGTATACCACCCTCCTTGATTGTACGGATACGTTTCTACTTTCGACAGTCCAACGTGTCCTTGCATTCCGTTCCTTCTGTATTGCTCCCACATCACCTGTTCTTCCACAAGGAGCTTCTGCTTCTTCTCCATGTCCGACATCTGCACGTACGGTGGAGGGGCCACCGAGAGTGACGCCGCGAAGGGATCGACCTGCATCGATCCATTATTGTTCTTATCACAACCGTTCGATGAAGGCGGTGCCGGCAGTGCTAGCATTGCTGGTCTTCCGGCTGATCCGAACGCGACGCTGCTTGCACTTCCGGTTGCTGCACAACTTTGCATCGCCGCCATTGTTTGGCCCTTTTGGTACATTCCGTCGAGCAACAACTTGTCGAAACCGCCGCCGAGTTCCGCCTTTCGATTATTTAAGCTACTCACGGATTGAACGAGTGCAATTTCCCAATCGGTCTCGTCTTTGATCAAATCTTCCCATCTCGGTCCCGGCAACGGAACGGCCGGTGCAAGGCCGTCAAACAATGCTAATGCCAATTTATTGGCGTGGTCTTCACTCGAAATCGCTTCCTCCCCTAAGTTCAACAAGTCTGCCTCTAGTTGCACAATTATAGCTTTAGAGTTATCATCGTCATCTTTCTTCTCCAGTTCTTCTTCGAAGAGATTTTCCGGTGGTGGTAATGCTTTAACCGCGTTAATATCTTCTTCAGGTTCGGTTTCTTTGATTTCCTCATGTACTTCCATTGGTTCCTCTTTACTTGTGTTTCCTTGCTCCAAAGCCAATTTGTCGCGAATCAACTCATCCAGGAGGTCGAGTTTCTTTTGGGTGATCTTCTCGATCTCGGGGAACTCCGACGGGCGTGCGACGCCGAAAGTCCGACACCACGAATAGAAAGCATCGAGCTCATCGAATTGCTGGCTTTGTCGGCAAAAAATGTCGTAGATTTTCATGGTATCCGACATGTCAACGTCCATGAAACGGTCGATCAAAGCTCCCATTGTTTCCGCCATGTCGTAATATATCTGGAAACTCTCTTTCAGGATCGGATAAAGCGCCACCGTGACCACCCTGTTACATTTGGCTTCACCTGTTTTTTTTTTCCAATCATGCAAAAACAAATAGTACACCATTAATCCATGTCATATAGGTGTTCATTAGTAAGATTAGATATATATATCTATATATATATACACATGCGAACCTGTTGGTCGACAAGCTAAGAAACGTTCAAGAATCTGCTGCAATTGTTGCATTCTTTGGAATAATTGCTCGGTTTTCAGCTCGTGGACCGGAGTGGATCGAATGACGACCGCCTTATCGTTATTTTCTTCCCCGAATTCTTCGTCGTATTTATACATATTCCGCTTCGCGTTCTTCCCCTGCATCTTGAATTCCAGGCTCTCGTCGAGGTACAAAGCGTAGGTCCTCACGAACGCGGAGAAATCCCACGAGTTGGACCGCGAGGTGTCGCGGAAGTCGGACATGTTGAGAATCCGAGTCCCGCGCCTCGTCGAGAAGAAGATCTCTTGCTCGTACGCCGGATCGCCCTCGGCAAGAAGACGGTGGATCAACACGAGCGTCTTCAACGCCACGGTCCAGTTCTTGGTCTTGTTGAGACGTCTCGAGAGGGAGTTAACGCACGCGCTGACATAGGCCCTCGAACTCGACGTCAATGAGAGTATTTCTCGGATGTGTCGCTCGTCGGCGGGGTACTCCTCGTGTCTCGTCGCCTTGACGATGGCTACGTCGAGATCGGAAAGTAACGTGCTGCCGCCGACTTTGGCGAGGCCGATGCTAGTCTGGTCTTTAACACGGCCGATGGCCCTTTTGAGCTTGCTCGCCATGGATTTTAAGGTTCTAAATATTAAGTAAAATACCAATTAAAAGAAATTCCCAACAACAATCGATGGAGAAGATTGTTGATGGGAAAATGAAAGAAAATTTCCCACTCTTCCCCTTTGTTAAACTTTCTTTAACTTTCCCTCTTCAACTATGATTCGCCTTTGTTTTTTTTCCTTGGAAACCAAACAGAATTCGATCTTTGAATCAACCATGCATGCATGGCCATTGCCATTTATTACCCTATATTTTAGCATGAACAAAGAAAACTAGAAATGTTTTTAACAGCAGGCATGGCAGATTCTGTTTGGCTATTTGCTAAAGAAAACGTGAATTCTGTTTAAGAATTAAGATAGAAAATTTGGGTTTGATTAGTTTGTGTCGTGTCAAAGGAAATTCTTTGTCTTTGGGTTATTTACTATAATTCTATAAATATATTTTAGGATAAATTACACCAATCATTACTAAATTTTACTCTTATCGTATTTCATTCATTGTACTCTAAATCCGTTCAATTTCTCATTTTTGTCCAAAAAAAAATACAAATAGGAGAGAGGGTAAAGTTTGGTAATAAAGTCTTATTTGAATCCAAATTTTTTAATTATTTGTAGGGTAAAATACACAAATGATCCATCGACTATTAAAAGTTATAAAATAATTATTCAATTATAGAGAGTTACTATGTTGACTGAGATATGATAATCATTTGAGATTATGAGACTAGATTTTATTATATCTCAATCAGCATGTTAATTTACAAATCAGAATGGCATCAAATTTTTAACGAAAAAAGAAGAGTTTGGAACATAATGAATAGTTGGGTGAGCATTTTGTAACTTTTGATAGTCGAGGGACTCAACAAAATAACACTCTATAGTCGAATGACTATTTTAAAACTTTTAATAATCGAAAAACTAAATAAAACAATATCCGATGCAACATTTGTATAATTGACCCTATTTTTTATCACTAAGGCATTCAATAATATTATAATAATATGATATTTTTAAATATTTATTTTGATTAAATTTAAGAGAGAATCGCCTCAGTGACCAAAAAAAAGTTATAATATACGATTTTAACCAACTTTTTTTGGATTTGCCAAAATGACCAACAAAATCGCAACGCGAAATAAAAATCGCAACGCGATCCCCAGAATCGCAAAACAGTGTCCAAAATCGCAACGCGATTCTTGAAAATCGCAATGCGATAGTCAAATTCGCATTGCTATTTTCCAAAATCGCAACGCGAATATGAAAATCGCAACGCGAACACATAAATCGCAATGCGTATCCGTAAATCGCAACGTGTATCCGTAAATCGCAACGCGTTTCCGTATATCGCAACGCGTATCCGTAAATCGCAACGATAATCCGTAAATCGCAACGAGAATCTGTAAATCGCAACGATAATCCGTAAATCGCAACGAGAATCTGTAAATCACAACACTGAAATTTTGGGTATATAACACTGAAATCATAAACTAAATCCCTAAATCGCAACTCATTCCATCTCCATCTATCACTCTCTCCGGCGACATCCGTTCCTATATCAAACGACATCCTTCCCAATCCGGCAACAGGTTTTAGTTTCGCAGCTCGTCTGTTTAGTAAATTAATTTACAACCATGAAATCATCTAATGTTGATCATGTTTGGATAGATTTGTGTTTTGGAGGGTCATGGGATAATGTTCATGGTGTTTTACAATATATGCCTTTACCCATGAATCTTCAACTAAAATTGTCTTTACAAAAGTTAACTTATGAAACTCTAATGCTACGTGTTTCAAATAAATTGAATTTAGAGCCCCTAAGTGGATTTAGGCTATCTTATCAGAGAAATGGTAAAGTTTATTTGTTAACCGACAATGAAGATGTTGAACGATTCATTGCTTACATTAGGGTTTCACAAGATGATGTTACATTGTATGTTGTTGAACCTAGAAGTAGTATTGTTGGGTCAGTAGCGGGTAGTAATCAACTAAGTTTTTCTCAAAACCCACAACCTTTCTCTAATCCAAATCCCAATCAACTTTCAGCACCAAATTCCGGTTTCGTATTGACCAGTTAGACGATGATGAGCCAACAGAAAAAATTGTGAGTACTAGTCAGTATTCGAAATTTGGTCTTGGTCAATATCCGGACTTGATATTGGTCAATACACGGATTTTGATGATGTTTCAGAAGAAGAAACAGACCATGCGTGTAATGATATTGATATTGGTCAATACCCGAATTTTGATGATGAAACAGCCGTTGCCGAAGAATGTAATGTTGATGATAATGAGGAGGAAGTTACGACTGTGAATGAACATGTTGAACATCCATTCTGTAATTCATATAATCCTGAAGAAGAAAAAGAAGAAGAAAAAGTCCCCGAAGAAAAGAAAATGCCACGGGCGTATAACTGGAATATGCCAGAATTACTTCAGATACCGGAAGAAGAGTTGATAAAGAAAGCAGTTGATTGTTACACAAAAGTTATTCGTATCAAGAAAGATGATTGTTTTGATACAAAGGAAGACTTGAAGATAGCTTTATATACGAAATGTGTGGAAGATGGCTATCAACTAAAAGTTAACAAATCAAGCAAAGATCGTTTCGAAACAAGGTGTATGATTGACAAAAACTGTACGTGGCGTATGATTGCAAAGAGAATAAAAGATTGCAAAATGTTTCAAGTTAGGACTTTTATTGATAAACATACATGTTCAAGAACCCAAGTTTTTCCTCACCATAGACAGGCAAACAAAAAGGTGTTGGTGATTTTCTGGCTGAGTTAATGTTTTGAATGGCAGGGTATATCGGGGACATGAAATTATGACTGACATGAATGCTCGGTTCAAGATTAGTATATCATATTCTCAAGCTTGGAGAGCCAAATGTTATGCCTTGGAATTGTTGAGGGGGTCGCCAGAAGCATCGTTTGCCCAACTGCCGGCTTATTGTCACAATTTAAAGCTGAAAAATCCTGGGTCGGTAACTCATATCAAAACAGATAGAGATGGACGCTTTGAGTTGCTGTTTATCGCCATTGGTGCTACGGTTAGTAAATCAATATAATTTTGTTGACTCATTTTTGTTAGTTACATGCATTTCACATTTAAATGATTATATTTCTGTGTATATTATTTTGTAGATTCGTTCGTTTATTACTTGCATGCGCCCAGTTATTATAGTTGACGGAGCACATTTGAAAGGTCGATACCTTGGAGTAAACTTATTAGCAGTAGCCATGGATGCTAACAATGGGATATTGCCAATAGCTTACGGGGTTGGCAAATCTGAAACCTCTGATTCATGGACATGGTTTATGGGGCATCTTAGGGATTGCATAGGTCCTATTAGCAATCTGACAATCATATCCGATAGGGCAAACTCAATTGACAACGCTGTTAGAAGGTGTTTCCCAGATGCTTTTCATGGACTTTGTGGTGTTCATTTGTATAGAAATCTAAAATCAAGGTCTGCTGGTATAAAAAAGCACAAATGGACATACTGGAAGGCTGTAAAAGCTTATCGGGAAGTGGATTTCAATAAGCATATAAATTGTTTAAGACGTGTTTTGCCTCAGTGTGCTCAAACACTAGAAGATGTCGGGTTTGAAAGATGGTCAAGAGTACATCAACTTGGAGCAAGATATGGTTTCATGACGTCTAATAGTGCAGAATCAATCAACGCTCTAAGTCGTCATTCCCGGAAATTACCCATTACTATGTTAATGGAGTTTTTTCGAGCCTCTATTCAACAGTGGTACTACAAGAAAAGAAACCATGCAGGTATTATTTCTTTGAATTCGTACTTATCATATTTATATTTTACTAAGTATTGTTATTTAAATTTACAGGAACATTGGAACATCGTGTTACACCATGGACTGAAAAAAGATAACGAAACGTGTTGTGAAGTCAACGTCATGGAGAGTTGAACCATGTTCAAACACTTTGTTTCAAGTACTGGATAATAACTTAAATGGGCTAGTCGATCTAAATGCAAAGACGTGTAGTTGTATGAAATGGCAAACATCTGGTTATCCGTGTGGCCATGTTATAAAAGTTGCTCTTCATTTAAACCAAGATGATTCAAGCGCATACGCTATGGATTGCTACACTACAGAAGTTTATCGACAGACTTATGCCGAGATTGTCTACCCTATTCCACATCCTTCTGAGTGGGACATACCAGATGACTTACAAACAGTTTTGCCACCAGCCATGGACAGAAGGCTACCTGGCCGACCAAAAAGTCACGATCGTATACCGTCTAAGGGTGAAGAGAAGAAGAGATCGACATGTAGTCGGTGCAAGGAAAGTGGTCATACAAGGTTGACATGTGGATCACCAGTGCCATCAAAATCATCTTTCCTCTACCAAAATATGGATCCTCATCAAATCCAAAGCTCATATGGTGTCAAGCAAAAGGCAATCATCTTTAAAATCCCAATCACGATTGGCTTCACCTTTTGAGACTGTTAACTTAGGTGATTTTTAAATGCAAACGTTGTATTATGTGGATTTTATGTGTGAACTTTTAACATTTTCAGTTGAATTAATGACTCAGGCCAACCATTTTGACTTAACCAACTCTTGTTATTCAGTTGTTATCACTATTAGGCATGCATTTGACTATCGCAACACGGAAAATACAATCGCAACGCGAAATGAAAATCCCAACATGAAAATCGCAATGCGGAAATGAAAATCGCAACGAGAGAATCGCAATGCGAAATGAAAATCGCAATGCGAAATGAAAATCGCAACGACAGAATCGCAATGCGAAATTAAAATCGCAATGCGAAATGAAAATCGCAATGCGAAATGAAAATCGCAATGCGAAATGAAAATCGCAATGCGAAATAAAAATCGCAACGAAAGAATCGCAATGCGAAATGAAAATCGCAATGCGAAATGAAAATCGCAACGAGATAATCGCAATGCGAAATTATAAACGCATTGCGATTTTCATTTCCGCATTGCGATTTTCATTTCGCATTGCGATTCTCTCGTTGCGATTTTCATTTCGCATTGCGA